ATCCGTGACATGCTGGTGGGGATATGCGAGAAGCGCGGCTTCAGCCTCCCTGACATCAAGGTCTACCTGGTGGGGAATGAGCAGGTAGGGTGGGCAGGCGGGAGAGGGGGTTCCTGCCAGCTGGACCATCCCCGTGCTGTACCATGCGCCGTTCTGTCGGTCGTGCAGTTTCCTGATGGTTTGGCTCTTGCAGAAAGCACTGGTGCTGGACCAGGAGTGCTCCGTGTTGGCTGACCAGGAGGTGAAGCTGGAGAACAGGATAAGCTTTGAGTGAGTGAGAGCCTTGGGGCTGATGCCATTGCCCACATACGTTTGGTCCGCATCATGCATGGCACCCTGACCTCGCTGCACCCAACCCCATGAGGAGTCCCAAACACCCTGGCTCAGCCCCTGCCTGTCCTGCCTGCCTGTGCCTGCCTGCAGACAGCCTCTTCTTCCCCTCCACAGGCTGGAAATCTCCTCCCTCAATAAGACCATCCGCATCACGGCAAAGTCAACCAAGCGCATCCGGGAAGCGCTGCAGCCCGTGCTGGGGAAGTATGGCGTGAGCATGGAGCTGGCACTGCTGCGGCGGGTGAGGGCTTGCGCCTCGGTGGGCATGGTCCCAGCATCCTGTGGATGGGATACTCTGGTGGTGGGGACCCTGGGTTTGGAGCTCGGACCAGGGGCTGCCAGCAGTCGTGGGGAGCAGCGGTCCATGCCAGGGGCAGCCTGTGTGCTTGTGGAGAGTCACTGGTGTTTGAGATGCGCCGTGTCACCACGCTGTGGGCTGGGAGGGAGCGGTGGGTGTGCTCTGTGCTGTGCAGCCCATGACCCGGCAGGGTCTGACCGGGGAGCACAGGTCCTCAGCCTGGCTGCCTTTGCCGTGCCGCAGCAAGTGTGACACTGGCTGGCTGTTCCATTGCAGCAAGGTGAGCCGGCCGCCGTGGATCTGGAGAAGCTGGTCAGCACGGTGGCTGCTCAGAAACTTGTCCTGGAAACGCCAGCAGGTAGTGTCCTTCCCTCCAAGCCATGGCCCCCCACCAGGCCACGGCCCCCCCACAGGGCGCTCCCAGGGCCAGGCTGCTTTCTGCTGGCCATGGCTCCTGCTTCCTGGGATGGGCTGCAGCCTGTCAGCAGCCTGGCCAGGACCGGGGCGCTGGCACGGGGCACTGAGCATCACTTACCTTGCAGAAATGCAAGTGAAGGAGAGCGCCGAGGCCACGGCCGCCCCCTCCCCGCTCCGGAGTGAGGTGAGCTCTAGATCCCACCACCCCAGTCAGAGATGCCCCCACGGCTGCTGCCACGGTCCGGGGGAAGGTGTCAGGTGTGCCCCACTGCGAGCCTGACACGTGCTGTGGGGCTGGGCAGCGGGTGCCGAGGCAGAAGCTAGGCTGCAGGAGGGCAATGAGGATGTGGGCTGGGGAAGCGCTGCCTCCTTGCCTCGTTGCTGAGGCCTGGGCTGCTCATCACAGGAGGGAAGCCCGACAGGAGCAGAGCCTGACACACTGTGGGAGATGCCCTCCTCCTTCTCCCGGCCCCGGTCTTCAGCTGCCACGAACCTGAACCGCCGCACGTGTACGACCTGGAAGGTGAGACCTGGAGTGTCTGAAACCCAGGGCAAAACAGGGGTGAGGGATGCAGGGCCCCTGGTGTGCTGGGGATGGGTGCAGAGTCCTGTGAAACTGGGCATGGGCTATGGGGGACTTGGGGTCCCCTGGTGTGCTGGGGATGGGTGCAGGGTCCCATGGGTGCTGGCATGGAGCAGGGAGAAGGTGCAGGTGCTGTGCCTGGGACATGTTCAGGGTCATGTCAGGTGGAGAGGGCAGCCGAGGCATTAGGACAGGAGCCTGAGCGCCGGGCTCAAGTGCGTGACCTGC